CTTAGAAGAAAACTCCTAGGCAGTGCTTGTATATGTAGTTTCTCTTTCTTTCCTTCTTTCTTTCTTCCTTTCTTCCTTCCTTTCTTTCTTTCTCTTTCTTTCTTTCTTTCTTTCTTTCTTTCTTTCTTTCTTTCTTTCTTTCTTTCTTCTTTCTTTCTTTTTTCTTTCTTTCTTTCTCTCTCTCTCTTTCTTTCTTTCTTTCTTTCTTTCTTTCTTTCTTTCTTTCTTTCATCTTTCTTCTTTCTTTCTTTCTTTCAAGATTTTATTTATTTATTTGGCAGAGAGAGACACAGCGAGAGAGGGAACACAAGCAGGGGGAGTGGGAGAGGGAGAAGCAGGCTTCCCATGGAGCAGGGAGCCCGATGCAGGGCCCCGGGATCATGACCTGAGCCGAAGGCAGGTGCTTAACGACTGAGCCTCCCAGGTGCTCCTGTTTGTGTAGTTTCTTATGGATGCAGAGTGCTTTATGCTTAGAAAGAGAAGTAGAATTTTGAAATTATCCATTAATTTATCTCTGAGGGCACCAAATTTATTTTTTTAAAAGCATACCTAATGTAAGGTTCATTTAAATACCAGTCTTGCAGAAATCTGAGCCGCTACTCCTTTATCCTAAGTGTGTGGGGTGCCTGGGTGGCTCAATAGGTTAAGCATCTGCCTTCAGCTCAGGTCCTGATCCTGGGGTCCTGGGATCCGAGCCCCGAGTTGGGCTCCCTGCTCAGCATAAGAGTCTCCTCTCCCTCCCCCCGCTTGTGCTCTCTCTCTCTCTCTCTCAAAAAAATAAAACAAAACAAAAAAACCCTTAGTGTGTGGTTTTGAAGATGTTTCAATCTTAAAGGTTATTAGGAGGAGTTATAGAGAAAGCAGTGTAGACGGTTGGTTATACCTCAGCTCAAGTTAAGTTCTTACTTGTACAATGTGAATTAAGTAATTTTATCACTTTAAGCCTAGTTTACCAATGAAATAATGTAGTTAGACTCAGTTTTCTTTTTAGTTCTTTAATTGTGATTTTTAAGAGAAAAGAGATCTCATTTTGTAATATTTGAAATAACCTAATACTCTAGAGTTATCACAAAATTAAATACATCTCATGCAACTTAATCATGATTCCTTGTGAGAAAAACAAATGGATTTAAGAGACAAAAATAGGTTCTGAATAAGTAGGACTACAACACAGGGTTTCTTAGTTTCTGACCTGCCATTCTTCCAGCAGAATCTAGTTGTATGCACTTTGCCTTAAATAATAAGAGAATGGGAATGGCTCTCCTGCCCTCCAGTTTCTCTGCTAGTAATGTCTGATTATTTTCTCCATCAAAGCTCGCCATCACCTAAGCCCTGATCTGAAGACCGTCAAATCACTAAGTATAGGATTTAGAGCAGATGGTCACTACCAATATAGGTTAGCAATCTATTCTGTGTTCAAACAAGTGCAGATCTTCATAGCGTAGTATCAGTTGGATATTTTGAGTTAATGTTAGCTCTGGTCACTTTAATTAACCCTCATAATTTAGCTGAGATGAGCTGTGTCTTCATTTATTAATTCATTTTACAGAACACTACACACAGACCTCTAGTGTTTGCTTAGTTTGCCAAGTGCAGTGTTGTATGGCTTCATGAGTATTTCATGCAGTGAAAATGCTTGTCAATGGGGCTTTAAAAAGTGGGCTTCTCACTGATGGGGATATTCAGTACACCTAACACTTTGAGCCTGATTTTTTTTTTGTTTTATTGAGACACACATGGATCACACAGGTAATAGATTGCTTTTAATTTTATAATTATATGTATTATATATCATGGACCACTTTACTAAATATTGAGCAATCAAGCTGGGGAAATGTTGATGCTTTTTAAAAGTTATATTCGAGGGTGTCTGGGTGGCTCAGTCGTTAAGCGTCTGCCTTCGGCTCAGGTCATGATCCCAGGGTCCTGGGATCAAGCCCCGCATCGGGCTCCCTGCTTGGCGGAACCTGCTTCTCCCTCCCCCACTCCCCCTGCTTGTGTTCCTGCTCTCGCCATCTCTCTGTCTGTCAAATAAATAAATAAAATCTTAAAAAAATAAAAATAAATAAAAGTTATATTCAGGTATTCAAGGGGGAGAGGCATAATTTGTAATGGACATGCAAGGAACTTTAAGAAATGTAGGGCTGTCCTTTTGTGCACTGCTGACATGAATGTAAAATGGTATAGCCACTCCAGAAAGTTTGGTGGTTCCTTAAATATTTAAACAGAATTATCATCTGATCCAGCAGTTCTTCTCCTAGATATATATTTAAAAGAATTGAAAGCAGGGACTCAAATAGATACTCGTACCCATGTTCACAGCAGCATTACTCACGATAGACAGAAGGTGGGAACGACCCAAATGTACATCAACAGAAGAATAGATAAACAAGTTTGGTGTATATACACACAGTGAAATACTGTTGAGCCTTCAAATGGAATGAAATGCTGATATATCTTACAATATGGGTGAAGCGTGAAAACATTATGCAAAGTGAAATAAGGCAGACACGGAAGGACAAATATCATGCGATACCACTTATATGAGATACTAGAATAGGTGAATTTATAGGGACAAAAAGCAAAATAAAAAGTAGCGAGGGCTGAGAGAGGGCAAATGAAGAGTTATTGTTGAATGGATACAGAGTGTCTGTTTGGGATCATGAAAAGGTGCTGGAAATGGAGAGTGGGAATAGTTTCACAACATTGTGAATATACTTAATGCTACTAAATTGTACACTTAAAAATGGTTAAAATGGCAGATTTTATGTTACATATATTTTATCGCACGCGCACACACACACACACACATACACACACACTTCAAAGAAAAAGAAGCGTAGGGCCATTTCCAAGTCTTGCTGTATTCAGTTCTGTTTTTCTACCTTTTTCATGGTTTTGCTTCATTTGCCACAGAGAGCTTCTTAGTATGGGCTCAGTATGCTTGAAGTTGGCCTGATGGATGTGTTTAGGTCAGAACCCACTGGTTTTGCTTCAAGGAGCCTTGCTTTTTATATTTGTTAACAATTTTGAGGGTGGGTAGGTGAGGGGGAGGTAGTTTAAGTTGGGAAAACAGTGCATGTTGGACTTAACCATTCCGACAAGGAGAGCGTGCTTTTGTGGCAAACCGAAAGGCTAGGAATCCCGGGTGATGAAACACAGGCCTTCCGGCCCTCACTCTGTTCCTGATTTCTGGTTGTGGGAATCTGCTCTGAATCCAACTGCAAGTGGAAAACCCATCTTTGGCTGAGCAGCCAGGGAGGCCCTCCTGCCAATCCCCTAAAATGTGTCGCTGAAACTTTGGCCCTGTGAGGATGGAGCTGAGGCTGTCTTCCCGAGATCTGTGCCGCTGTCAAGGTGGCTGTGATGGGACTGTGACCGGCCTCTGCACTACATTTTGGCAGTGACCTTGAGACCTGCCAGCTCACAGCAGCTGTCCTGGTTCTTTCTCTCCTGCCACAGTTGCCTGGCCAGGGGGCTAACGGGAGGGCGCTAAACTCCTCTGGCTCGGGCATTCTCAGGGACTGGCAAGTTCCGACTACGGTGCCCAGCTCTCTGAGTGCCTACCACCCACTGGGTATGGTGGCAGTCCAGGTGTGTGAAGGTGGGTGGCTGCTAGTGCCGCCTCTGGCTCAGCTCCCAGTCCCCGGGAAGTGGGTGGCCCCGTCTGACCATCAGCCGGGTGGGCAGAAGGCTCCGAGGTTGCGGGGGGAGGGGGACCTGCTTGGCAGCTCCAGGGAGAGATGCTCAGTGACAGCTGATGATCTTGGGAGACAGAGGAGCCAAAGGTGCCCCTTTTGTCCCAAAGGTGTGAGCCCACCTTCCAGATGGGAGGGATTTCTTTAGGAAATGAAGGTCACCAGAAATGTCCAGAGCAAGAGAGAGAGAAATCTCTCTCCAGCCACTGAGAGTGACAAGTGTATTTTGAAAACTCCTCCCCCTCCTTGTCCTCTTCCCGTCCTTTTGCTTTCAAGTGGCTTCATTAGTATTTTTTAATTCGCCTTTATCATCGGACATTTATTGACAGAAATCAAATTGCTGTGTTTCTGGGCAAAGCGCCTGCTGCAAAGAGGTGTGGTTCCCGGGGAATGAGACACGCAGCCCAACAGCTGAGCCTACACTGTCCTCACATAACCTCCCTGCCTTAAATATCGCCAATATTTAGCCTTGCCTTATAAAGTAAAAATGCACAATACCTTCCAGAGTTTCAGCAAGCCCAAATGCCCCCCTCGGCTCAGTTATATCTCCTGTACGTTGGAGGCTGAGCCGCGCACCCCTCCCCCCGCGCAGACCTGCCCTCGGAGCCGCCAAGAGGTTACTAATCAGGGAGCCTCCGCCATCGATCCGATGGTGGAGACCTGGGGGATTTGTGTGCATTGTTTTTGCTGAAGCCTCCTGTGATTTCGGCGCGACCAGATCCTCTGCAGCGCACTCCATGTCGCAGCTTGTGGCTGCCTGTGTCCTGTGGTGAGAGCGGAGCCGCACAGGAGATCCTTTGTCTAGGAAGGCTAGCAGAGAAGATCACTTTGGAGTTGCTAAGCTCTGCATTGCCATTGGCTGCACTCTTTGTGGGGCTGTTTTTGCAAAAGGCATGCCCAGCACGTCTACAGTGCTGGCAGGCCAGGGCTGCCTTTAAACACCATGATAATAATACCAAAAAGCAGTTTGCAGAACTGTTCCACTGTAGAGGCTTCCTCTGCAGAAGCAAGCAAGATGGCTACCTCGTGGGCTTCGCTGTGAAGAATGCAGAGGCTAATTAAGACAGACTTTAAGGGGAAAAAAGGGTATTTCCCTACTTCATCTTTATGCAAGGCTTTTTTTCAGTGACTTTTCAAGTATACATTTTACATAAGCTCTTTAGGTTCTGCCTAGCAAACATGTTGATGATTTTAAATGGTCTAAGTAGTTTTATAGAGAAATAGCCAAAAATTTTGGGGGGGGTGGGAGCTAATTTTTTTTTTCTTAAATGGAGGCTCATTTTGCAATTTGATTTTTTTTAGGTTATAAAAGAAAACAAGAGGCCCCAGAGGGAAAAGAAGCCCAAAGTTTTAAAGGTAATCAGCTATTGATTAAATCATATTTAATTTTTTGCCATTTCATATAGTATTTTTCTGTCACTTAGGAGTAAATTTGGAGTACAGTGGATGTGAATTCTCCCGGATTTTCAGTAGATAAATGAATTTTCACTCAACTGAAGGGTTTTCTCTCTCTCTCTTTTTTCTGATGTGCTGCATGATGTGCATATTAGCATCCTTTATTTTCAACTCCACACAAGTCTGCAGAAGGAAAAGTTTATATGCAAAGTGTTGTGAATAAAATTTGTTTTTCTTTGTAGATCCTTTTGTAGCATCTGCCTTTGTGGTGTTGCACCAGTGTGTAAACTTAAGCCCTTAAGGAGACACTATTTGAAGTTGACAGCTATGATCCATTGTGATTTTAATAGACCTTCCATTAGATACTATTTTAAAATGTGTGGTTTTGCTTTCCAAAGGAAAAGGTCCTTAGAGATTTTAGTTCAACTTAAAATATGTAAGCCATCGAGATCAGCCAAATTATCATTGCCTAATCCCAAATTCTCATTGAATCATTTTTAATTTTGGCATTCATAGAGCTGTAGGAAATATACATGTTTTCTTTATTTTCAGCGGTTTGCCTAATGAGTATTTAGCAGTAACCTAATTCGGTTATAAGCTAACAGTCTGTGTTATGAGCTTGGTACAGTATTCAGAAGGGTTAATTTAAAAGCATATGGCACTACTCAAAGTTCAAGGCTAGCTTTAGTTTAGCAAATGAGTGCTTATGTGTTAAAGGTTTCAAGTGGCATATTGCTGTTATAAATGTAAGCAACCTGAGCAAGTAACCTTTTTAATTAAAAAAACACATATTAAGCAATAAAACTTTCTGATCTTTAAAATTATATCATGTATATATAATTAACAATATTTTAACCTAATCTTAGCTTTTCTTTTGCAAATAAAGTTTTAGCACTCAAAGAGGAACAACATGTTGAACTATGGATGTGGCAAATTTTTATTCATTTGCTTCCCCAGTTGTGTACCTTGAAAATGTTTTTGACATGGAGAACCAAACCTTGCATTGCTTTCAAATTTGTCTGACCACCTTGAGTTTCTGTTTCCTGTGTGTACGCGGCGTTGCCATGTACATTTTCATCAACCAACAAGTTATTTGTTTAATATTTACCACACAGTCATCGGTGTTCTAGGCACTGTGAAATGAATGAAATTGCTTGGCACAAATTCTCATTGGGCCTGGACAAATAGAATATTGGTTATTTTCAAGGTAAATTAACCCCTCCTGTTTTGCTTCTGCATATCGATCCACCTACTCCCTTTTACTTCCTTCCCCTCCTCCAACTGTAAAATCGTATCATTAAAAGCCCTGCTTATGTTTGTTAATCTCTTCTTATACTTTCTGTGTTGGGTGTATCCATCTCAGGTGTTTTGTCTTCAAATCTTCAAGTGAGAAATCATTTTAGTGCTGCTGTTAAAATGGCTCTCAGATTTGCAGGGGTTAGGGGGGCAGCAAAGGAGAAAGAGGCCAATTGCATGGACATATTAATATAGATGAAGGGCGACTGGGTGGCTCAGTCGGTTAAGTGACTGCCTTCGGCTCAGGTCATCATCCTGGAGTCCCGGGATCGAGTCCTGCGTCGGGCTCCCTGCTCGGCGGGGAGTCTGCTTCTCCCTCTGACCCTCTTCCCTCTCGTGCTCTCTATCTCTCATTCTCTCTCTCTCAAATAAATAAATAAAATCTTTAAAAAATATATATAGATGAAGCTTGGTAGCTAAATCAGTAGCTGCCTTTGCTAGGAAGTAGAATTGGGTTTGGGGGATACTATTTAATTCTATGTTTATTTTGTTAGTCTGTGGGTGTCCTGTCACCTGAAATAAATTTCAGAAGTAAATGTACCGTGTGTTGCTTTCTTGAAATAGGGCAATGGACTCTGACTTATTTTAAAATAAGTGCCTGTGGGTGGCTGAATTTCATGTGCCACAGCAACAGAACTGAATTGTTGCTCACTTTCCTCCATAGTTATCAGTTGTTGTACAAGAGTAGGGAAATGCCCTAAAAGGAAAAAATCATTTTTTCCCCTGAGGTTGGCATTTTAAAATGTCTTCTTTAATTTTCTATTAGCTGTAATGTATTTTGTTCTCCAGAGAAAGCTTTGTTTCTTTGTTCCACAGTAGAAATGCTAAAATACTTTCAGATTTTAGCTCGGTATGTGTAAAATAGGTAGAATATTATACAACCCTGAAGGAGATGTTATGAAAACTAAATCCATATTTTGGGAGGGAGGGCAGGGAAAGAGTACAACTTTCAGCTTAAGGTTTTATGGATGAGGACTTAGTGTTCCAGCTGGCTGCTATCTGGGGGAGCAGTGATGGGAGTCTACAGGTTACAGCTTGGTCTCCTTTCATAATTCTCTCTTTGCGTATGGCATTATGCCAGAGATCTAGTCCACTTCGTTTGACTCTGGCCTCTTAGATCTTCAAATCTGGGTCCCTTGCTTTTTGTCAGGGTGGATGCTGCAGGTATCCTAAGCAAATATTTTCATCTTCATCATCTGTGAAGAAGTAATTGGACAGGTGAAGAGTCTGATTAAGGAAATTGGGTGCAGAATTGAAGCTTGTCCCATCCTACTCTGAACCTGCTAACTAAATATTGAATCCAGTTGTGGGGCTGAAATTGCCTGGTATGTCTCATACCTCTCACTTTTAAGCAATCTATTAGCTATATCGATAACCTATATTCATTCTATTGTAGTTCAAAATGTAAAACTGTAGATAGTGACTTCAAATCCCTGACTAGAGAGAGAGTTCTCCTCTAGCTGAAATGCCAGTTTCTGTCCAAAGCACTCAGGTGGCCAGAAGGAATATCGAATGATGGGGGTAGTGGGTAGGCGAAGCACAAATTCCTGCCCCCATTGGTTCTGGAGGACCAGGTTCCTGCCCAAGCCCTGTTGATTATCACTAGAGTTATTTTATATATACATGGCAGCTTATTGGCTGTGCTGTAATTATTTCCTTGACTCTTGAGTAAGGTAAAGGTGTGAAATAGTTTCAGGCATTGATTCATAAAATTGGACTTGTGAGTGGCATGATTTGGAACTCCACTTGGTAGAAACATTTATGTAAATAATCTCTACTTGATGTGTTAGGGTAAGAGGATATATTCCCTTAAGAGAATGTCAATTTTAAGGTAATATCACTTTGGTTAGGTTGTCAATCATTGTCCCTGGAAAAAATCAGATTGCATGGTCATTTGGGGATATTGAGGGGAATTTAATAAAGGAATTGTTTAAAAGGTGTGGGCAGGGTTAAGGGAGAAACTAGGGATGACGAAGCATCCCAGGACTAATGACAGCGGAGATTTCTCACCACTCCTAGGCCTGAAGGGGCCAGGGAGTGGGAGCAGAAACCCAGATACAAAGAATAGTTGAAGTTGAAGAGATGGAGCAGGGTCTTTTATTGCAGCCTTTGGTAACGGGATGTTTCTGCAGAGAGGAAGTTTTGGGATGTGGGGGATCCAAATAAATACCCTGCCCTCCAGTTTTCTGCTGTTTTCATTGGTGGGTCCAAGTAGAAGCCAAAAGGGGACAGGATGGTGCGTTCAAAAATAGTACCAGCATCATTATTATAAGAAGGTAACATTAGGTGAGTCTGGGTGAGGTGTATATAAGAAACCCTATACTATGTTTGCAACTTATCTGTAAATCTAGAATCATTTCTTTCTTTTTTTAAAGATTTATTTATTTATTTGACAGAGAGAGCAAGAGAGCACAAGCAGGGGGAGTAGTAGAGGAAGAGGGTGAAGCAGGCTCTTCGCTGAGCAGGGAACCCCATGGGGGACTTGATCCCAGGACCCTGGGATCCTGACCGGAGCTGAAGGCAGATGCCCAACCATCTGAGACCCCCGGGCGCCCCTAAAATCATTTCAAAATAAAAAGCATGGGCATCCCTGAGCAGGAACCATATTTATACATTCTATAAGTAGAGACACTCTTTCGAGGGCAGTAAGGGATATTTTCTAGCTATTGGGTTATAAAATATTATCAAAGTCGTATTTGGAGGAACTGAGTGAACAAATATAAAGAAATGTCAGTGGATATTAAACCAGGAAACGGTCTACAGATGATTTAGAAAAGAAATGAAAACTAAATGATCTTCCTGCTAGCTTCTACACTGGCAGCCGTGCTCTTCACTGTTTCCTTCCTTCCTTCATGACGCTGTTAAAGGAGAACAAGTGGTGCTGGGGGCTGATGGGGGACATAGACATATTTCTCACTAGGAGAGAAGACACGAGCGTATAGCTATACTTAAATATATTTTTTAAAGATTTTATTTATTTATTTGTCAGAGAAAGAAAGAGAAAGAGCACAAGCAGGGGGAGCAGGAGATGGAGAAGCGGCTCCCCACTGAGCAGGGAGCCTGATGCGGGACTCGATCCCAGGACACTGGGATCATGACCTGAGCCGAAGGCAGACACTTAACCAACTGAGCAACCCAGGCACCCCTACTTAAATATCTTTTTGAAAAATGTTTTTGAAAGGAGAATCAAATCATAAATAAATCATATTCATACATGGTGTTGATTTGCATGACATAGTGACATTCAAAATATTTAGTACAATCCTTACCTGGCACATAGTAAATCCTCAGTAAGCTCAGTTTCCTGAACAACATCATTTATATTCAATATTATTACTATTTTTTAAAGCATATACTAAATGCTGGGGCTACAATGGTGTACAAGCCCAAAATGGTTTCTGCCTTCTTGGCGATTAACTTTGCTTAGGAAAGGCAGGGGAAAAAATTTAAAGACAAATGAATAAATTGCAAATTGTAGTATATGCTTTGAAGGAAACAAAAAATGTGTTAAGCTAGGGAAATTTAATATTTTTGAGAGCTGTCCCATTCATTTTTATTATTATTATTTTTAAAGATTTTATTTATTTGACAGAGAGAGAGACAGCGAGAGTAGGAACACAAGCAGGGGGAATGGGAGAGGGAGAAGCAGGCTTCTTGCCGAGCAG